CTATAACAAAATGATAAAAAAATTTAAATACTTAATAAAAATTGCGATGATAAATAATTTCAAATACTTAATTATGAATATCACAATGATAAATAAATTTATGACAATTTTATGTCGTTCTAGTGTATTTCTAGGTATTTTAGTATTAACTTCAGGCATTATGTCTTACAAATAATTTATTTTCATAGAAATGCACTTTTTTTTTAATTTAAAAAAAAATGCATTTGTCTCATCACAAGGTTCAAATAATGACTTTAGTTTTAAACCCTGAAAATTCTGATGCCATCAAACTACCTCTATGATCTTATACTTAAATATAATTTTATTTATATATATGTGTGTGTGTGTGTGTGTGTGCATGTGTGTGTGTGTGTATATATATACATATATATATGCACAGTTTTTCCCATAAACTGTAGTTTTAAAACTACAGTTTATGGGAAAAACTGTAAATATATATACAATAATAAGAAAAAGTTAAAAAAAAATTTTTTTTTTTACTTAGATGATAGACTGCCTGGTCAAACCAAATCCTCAGTCAATGTAGCAGCACTCTGTTGCGAGTCAGGCTATAAGATACTCGATGTAGCAACATTCTGCGCATGTTTTAAAAATATATTTTAATAAAACAACAACAAAAACACCATTAATTAAAAAAAACTCTCTAGTCATTATTATTGCGGTTTTTTTTAAAAAACAATAAAATTTAATGTACTTCTGCATTAATTTAATTGCTTTGACATTTCGACGGCAATAAAATGTAGCTTAATTGTAGAGGTAGCAAAAATGTAGTCAAAAGAGACTTTTTTTAAAATAAAAGTCTCTTTCGACTACGACATAAGGATATATATACATACTAACATACATACATACATACATACATACATACATACATACATACATACATACATACATACATATATATATATATATATATATATATATATATATATATATATATATATATTTGCTGTTATTTTATTAAAATATATATATATATTTGTTGTTGTTTTTGCTATTGCTTTATTAAAATATATTTTTAAAACATGCGCAGAGTGTTGCTACATCGACTATCTTGTAGCCTGCTGCTACAAGAGAGTGTTGCTACATCAACTATCGTATATAGCCTGACTCGCAACAGAGTGCTGCTACATCGACTGAGGGTGTGGTTTGGGCAGGCAGTCTATTATTTAAGGAAAAAAAAAACTTTTTAAACTTTTTTAGTCTGGTTTATTAACGCGCTCTTTAAAACTACAGTTTATAGGAAAAACTATATCTTTTATCTTATATCTAGCATATCTTATATTCCTTATATCTAGCAATTGCATAAATTGCCTTAAATTACATTTTTCAAAATAAAAATATAAATAATAACCAACATAGTCATTAATTTAACATTGATGGCTTTAACATCAAAATTGATTTTCTGCTAATTTTAATTTATATGCTTTATTCGCTAACCAATATAAAGAAAATAAAATTTCCTTATTGCTTCTTCCATGAGTACCTTTTAGCATTATAACCTTAACATTTAATAAAAAATAAACTTATATTAATAATTTATATATTTATATGCGATTATATAAATAGTATACTTGTATTTCTTTTTAATATACTAAAAAGATTTATTCATAGCATATTTATTAAATAGCAAAATCATTGATTTATTTAAAAGTTAAAAACTTTTTTTGTTGTTTGTATTTTACTTTTTTCAATCAGCACAGATCCTGGATAATGCCAACGTAGCTAACCCAAGAGCGCCTCTTATATGGAGTGATAGGGTACACATCAAGGTACCCTGTGATGCAAAATTTTAAATCTTTTACTCAAGTCCTTTGAAAATAATTTCATTTCAATGTTCAAATTAAGTGAAACTTGACTAAATAGTGCGTCAATAAAAATACCTGTAGAATGAGAACAACTACATATAATTTGATAAAAACTGATGCAAATGTAGCATATAGTCACACAAAACTTTAAATAAAATTTTAGTTAGATTGGTTTGCTGGTTAAGGATTTATGGCAGTTTTAGTTTATATTTTGTTAGTTTTTTGCTACTAAGACCTCAAAACGTTACCGATTACTGTGATATTCGAACGCTATTTTTAAAGTAAAGGTTATATGAGTGTTTTACTATGTAATATCAACAATTTATATTATAATTGTTTTATTGCTACACGTACCATTTTCATTCTATGGACAAAATTACTGATTTGCTATTTGAAGCATAGTTAAAATAAGCTTATGCATAGCATAAATATTTCAACATTTCCTATACAATAAACTACTGCCAAAATGCAAAAAAAAAAAAAAGCTAACAAATTTGCAAAATATAAATAATAAATACATTGACTTTCAAAATGAATTGAAAAAATAACTATATACTGTAATACCGCCTATGTTCGGTCACCATGGTTATACCATAATACCGCCTAAGTTTGGTCACTATATACTGTAATACTGCCTAAGTTCATGTAATACCACCTAAGTTTGGTCACTATATACTGTAATACAGCCTAACGTCGGTCATTTAAGAAAAATTATAAAAAAAGCATGCAAAACTCAAATTTTACAAACTTTTTTTTCTGAAATAATATTTGTAATTAGTCTGTAAAAACAACAATTTGAAAAAAATGCATACTATTAAAATCTAAAATAAGCAAACTATTAAACTAAATGATCATATTTAATCTTAGCATTATTAAGAATCACCAAATTGATTATATTTACAAAATAAAAATAATAATTTTTAAAAATTAACTACTTTTTTTAACAAAAATAGTGAAATTTTGAAATACTCTAACTTTGGTCATTCGTGGAAAAACAACGAAGGAAACAATTAGCACGAATGTTGTAAAATGTTAGTATGTTAAAAATGTGACTTAGTGAATAGGAACTTGTGTTGCAATTGCGTAAATTTACAGGTAACTTTACCTGTAAATTTACCAGTAAGTTTTGACACTTTTATAATGGATACCATGGTATTTTATTTGAATAAAGAATTTGTTTATAATTTTAAAACTAACCTGTTTTAAAACAAAATTTATTGGTCGATTTGCAGGTAAATTTTGATTTTAAAAAATACTGGTAAATTTAAATCACTGAATATGAAGTACTTACAAAACAATAATATATATTACAATGCATTGAAATAGTTTTTGTCAAGTTGAAACATCTGTTATCTATGGATTTACATGAGAAAGCTCGGATAGCTCATGATTTGAAGGCTGTGGATAAAGGTATGAGAAAAAGGAAAGCAGCTATAACATTTGGCTTTAAAAGATCAACTTTCATCGACAGAAGTAACGACAAACATAATTAAAAAAATGGCAAACCAACTAAGATGAGTGTAAACATTGAGGGCATTTTAGTAAAAATTTTAATATTTATGAGTGATATTGGTTTTAGTTTGACTAGACTTGAAATACTATGTGTTGTTAACAAGTATTTGGTTAATTCAATTCAAATGTGTTTTAATGGTGGTGAAGTTACACTTGCCTGGTATTACTCATTTATTAGACGTCATTGTGAAGGGCTATTGCTCAAAACTTCAAATAATATGCCGTCAAACCGTGCAACGTCGACTCAGCCAGGCACTATAGATCAATGATATTTATTAAAATTATATGTTTATCTGTAAATATATTTCATAATTGTTATTTAATTAAAAAAAAGTACAATTTTTAAAAGGTAAATTTCAATTTGATTGTAATGTTTACAAACTGTCTTTTTTATATTAACTGCTCAATTTATAGCATTTTAATAACCTACTTGATAATTTTATTTTATTTCTTAAATCAAGGTTTACACAAGTGTCTGATATGCACAATATACATGAATTCACAACTAAGCCGTTCCACATTTTTAATTGCAATGAATCTGGTCTTCAATGTGATCAAGATGAATTTGAGGTTGTGTGTCGGAAAGGTTCAAAAGGGCCAAAGAAACTTTGTAGTAGCAACGAAAAGGTTTCAGTCACAATACTCGTTTGTTGTGATGCTTTTGGAACATACTTGCCTGCTCATGTTTTATTCCAAGGCTAAAGGCATTTATGATGAATTTGGGTATGTATTTTAAGAAGGATTTAAAGCAGATGTGCCAATAATCCGGAAAACTATGCATTTTAAAAACTACTATTTAATTATTTGAAATTTTAGATTGATGTTCAAACAGCTTTTAACTCAGGATGGGCCTAACAGTGCTACTTATGGTGTCACACAATCTGACTGGATGGAAGGACCTGCTTTTGCTGGATGTTTTGAAAAGACATTTATCCCACATTGTTGCAAGCTTGAAGGATCCAAAGTACTTTTTCTAGATGGCCATGCCTCACATGTAACGCTGAACTAATTCACTTAGCAAAAGAGGAAAACATTATTTTTAAGCTAACGGCTCATACATCTCACGTGCTACAGCCACTTGATGTAGGCGTATTTCATTCAAAACGGTTTTAAAGATCTCACAAAACCTAGATATCCTGGGTTGCTCAAACAGCTTATTGACCGAAGCTTCTTGAGCGAAAATGTGCGTTCGGGCTTCAAAGCAACAGGTATTTTTGTTTGTGTTGGAAAAAAATGACTAATGAAAAGTTAGCTATTGGATCAATTTTTGCGCAAAGTACTCAAACCTTACCAACACTAGTCTATACTAGTCACCACAACTCCAGAAATTCCTTCAAGTATACAAAAGCATAGAAGTTCAAGCACACAAACTTCTTCGAGCTCATTAAAACAAATACCTCCTTTAACATGCAGCACAACTGCTTGTGAGCATTTAAAGACATCAATTTTAAATGCTTTACATGTTGGCCTCTCCAAAGCTTCCGTATTAGAGTCAAAGCTAAATGTTTTTTAATAACATGCGCCTCATGAAAAGTTACATTCTGACTTCTGAAGGAGCTTTGATAGAACTTACAAATAAGCAATTAATGGCACAAAATAAGAAGAACGAAATACAAGCTAGAAAAGTTTTTCGTGAAAAAACAAAACAGGAGGCTAATT